ATATTCACATTCCGTCTCAGATGTAGATGCGTGCAAGTGCATGTGCGTGTGCGCGTATGCGTATGTGTGCTGTTTAGCGATCTAGTCAGTTTGTAACGTGTAAAAAAATCAGAATCCAGTTGCTTGCGAACAATTGTAGATCGCTATCGTTTCCGGCTTTCAAGAGAGAGAGAGAGAGAGAGAGAATCACTTAAATCTCATAAAAATTCATTAAATCAGATGCATCTCGATATTGAAACAAATACATTCTTCTTATATAGTCTTGTCTACTATCTATTAGTTGTCCGCGAGCGAGAGAAAGTGCGCCACTTTGCATGCACTCTATGCATATCGGATTTTATGAGTGTTTGAGGGAGCTAAACAGCTGTCATTTTGAAACCGGAACCGAGATAACGCTCCGCAGTTGTACACAGCACATCTTCCCCAGATGCAGTCTTTTAATATACATACATATATACATACATACATACATACATACATACATATATATATATATATATGTATATATATATATATATATAGCTATACAATTGGGTCAGAATAATGTTCGCGCCATATTTTAATTTTTTCGAAATATTTTTTAATAAAAATATTTCGTTAATATATAAAAGTTATTCTTTCAGTAAAAAAAAAAAGATAAAATTAATTGATAATTTTTTCATAAAAATTACTTTATCGTAGGAAATGCCTGTTGTATGACAAAGTCACATTTAAATGGCGAAAATCGTGACAAATTCTGTATACACTTTAAAGATGTAAAACAAGAACGTGTATTTTATATATTAAAGGGGACAGAGGCTCATATAAAAAAAGAACTGGAATATAATCAGTTGGACTACTTACTTCACGTGTTTCAGTCTACCTCGGCAAAAGCAATTCTCGTACGAATCGCAAAATTGGAAACGCCACGAATAGCGTCAACAACAATCGCGCAATTGGATCGATACGAAATTGCTCGAGGTAATCAGTTCGGATATGATTGACTGACTTTGAAATACGTGCAGATATTAATAGAAGAACGTGTTGGGATGTGTAATATGTCGTTTTATGGTTTCGCGTTTTTAACTCGACATACACCGCAAATGCGTTTTGTTTCGAGGTGCTATTGCGATGGTTTTTCGTTGCGTGGTTGCATAATTCGGATAAATCAGGCAGAATCAATGAAAAGAAATAAATTAGTCTGATTATTATTCGCGTGTTCTCTCAGAATGTACAGGAAGAGCGTGATTAAATGTCGCTCGTTTGCTCCCTATTCAAAAATGAGCATTAAAAATCTGAACAATATGATTTTGCAAGCAGAGAGAATCGATAAAGATATACGAGTAATTTCACGTTGATCTTTGAAGAAACGCTTCGAAATAATTCCCTTAATTTTTAACGAGAAATATCGCAATTTTTTTCCATTTTTCTATTGACATATATACACGTGATGTAATATCGAAACGTCAAATGATTTGTTTTCTAATGTCTAATGTGCAGTCTCGAATGCGTATCAGTCGAAAGTAGTGACGGCGCATCGCGATGCAATGCTTATGTCATTGCACTGACAATGAAAGTTAGAATCACCGCCTATGGCGTTCGTGTAATCTCCTACTATACTCTTCCACGAAATGAATTATTGAAATACTACGTTGCGACGCCATTATGCCTCGGTGCGTCGCACTATGACGTGCCATCAAATGTCCCCTGCTTTCTCATTTCGCGCAATTATTAGTAAACTCATTTAGCGTATGGCGGTAGTGTTCTTGCTGCTTAATCACAAACTTTACGGCATTCAAAATTATCATATTATTTGCTTGATTTTTATGCTCATCTCTCTCTGTGTAAAAATAGGCACGATATTACGGATAATTATAATTTTAAATTTCTATCTCTCTATTTAAGTAAATCGCGAAGTAACATCTGTTATCTAATATTCGATATCGTTCTCAAAATAAGTTCATATTTTATATCAATTTATTCCGCTATCGAAATAGGATAGGAATTTAAAATGTGCACGTGCTTGCGATTTTCTTGGAATATCTAATCTGATTTACAAATGTAAATCTTCAAGCGATTTTCTTGGAATATTTAATCTAATTTACAAATGTAAATCTTGAAGCAAAAAATATCTGGCACTTTGCAACGAAAAGCTTGCCAAATTCTTCGAAGCTCTTTGAAATTAAAACGCGGAAACGTATTTGACTTAATAGCAATTGAGTTCTCGGAATATCGTTTCAAGATCGCTTTAACGGACGAGTCTTCCCTTCGTCATTAAATTTAAACATTATAGAAACGACTTTCGTTAAAGTCGTGTTCGCCAGCATAGAAAAAGTGTTACCGCGGATATTGCCGCGATATATTCTGCAACAGGAAAATATCAGTAGCAGTTCTACTCACAACTATTTAATGCCGCAAAGTTTATGGATCGAGCGCAATAAAAAGCAACGCGTAAATGTCGATCGATGCAGAAAATGACAGTCAATTACGGATCCCTTTTAAAAAGTACGAGTAAAATGTATCCCCGAATTGTTCACGCGCAAACCAAATGTCGAGTCGATTGGAAGAAAACGTGGACCTCGAGTTAAGACATATCGAATGGAAGTGAAAGGACGCGATCATTAATAAGGGAAACATTAACATTTCAAACTTTAAATGTTACAGTTTTTTCTTCCGCGCTCTTGCAACTCGAAGATTACGTAAGTCATTGAGAGAAAAAAAATCCGATTTGCTCCGGACGATCCTATCTTGTTCTCTAGCAAAGTTGTTGCCCTCCGTCAAATAAAAGGAGTGTGATCTCGTTTTTTTTTTGCGATCGCGCGATTTAATTCCCTCTTACACGCATATATTTATTACAATGTTGTACATCTTCCTGGTTAACTCGATCGAATCGCGCGTTTTCCAACGTTATGAATTATCCGCGCGCGGTCGCGATCGTTTTCCGAGTACATCGTCAATATTAATTCAATGTATACGAATACCAGAAATACTCTGAATAGTAAGACCTCTACTTGCAACGATATCTGCAACGAAGAAAACGGATCAAGCAGTCGCCTCGAAACCGGTTGCCAGGAAGTATCGTCGAATAGCAGCGGCTACTCGCTCGACAGATCCCCTACTTAAGGATCGCACACGGGAGGGAACTGTACGACTGCGGACTTGTAGATGAACCTCACCGCGCGAGTAGAATTCTCCGAGATTTGTCCATATTTTAGAAACCTAATGAGCCGATTCTTCCCAAATATTAACCCTTCCCTATATTCATGTTTCGTATATCAATAAAACATTATTTTTACGCGATATAATTGTTATATCTATTATTGTATTTCATATTTCATATAATTATTACATTCTTTATTGAGTCTAGTTGCAGTATACGAAGAAACTGCAACTATAGCTGATTGTGAGAGAAATCTTTTCATAATTAGGACAGAAATGTAACAGTCGTGCATATATTTATGTATATTGTGTATATAATAATTTATCGCTATTTTATGCCAATTAGAAAATAAAAATATATAATAATATATATCGTGTGCATGTATAATCAGCATAAAATAACAATAAATTATTAACTGCGAAAAAATCATCCCATTGGATCCTTACATAAAAGTATATTTGCTTTTATTGCAAGTATCTCGATCCTTGCAGCTAAAAGATGCTGCGTCAGGATGTTAATTATTATATATACTTGATCATACATGAGGACGGTACGATCAATATATTAATGAGTTAAATTAATTTTAAATATTATATGACTTTTAAATTATTTAACCAAGCTTTCCGTTCTCATCCCCAAATGTTTGCTCGTAGTTGCGGTAAATCGAGAGACGAACTGGTTGCAGCAGTAAGTTTTCCTGCAACTGCAGGAAGTGCACACGAGTAATATATACGCCGGAACGTGGATTAAGCTCACGCACGAGCGACGTCGATGACATCTGTTACAATCTGTCGGAAACTAAGTCACGTTTGTGCGTTAATCACGTTGGCACGATTACGGTGTGTCTCCAATGTCAAAGTCAGGGTTAGTTTTCATCTCCGGAAGTGAGACGCGCGCACGCGCGCGTTCGGCTCGAATTTATGTATTATCCCCTAATTACGATCGCAGACGGTACAAGACGCGACGTGAAATTTGTATCTCAAATTTTTTTAATTTACAGATTCTCTGCAGATGATTCTTGTATTTTCATACGTGTTTAGAATATGCTATTAATTTTAATTTATAATATTAATTTCTTAAGGATTCAATTCACAGCGACACAATGCGCCATTTATAATTATAATAGATAAGTTAATAATATTAATATTATATAATTATTAATGATAATGATTGACGATATTGCATAAATAATTCATCGTGTCATTTGTGTCAAAATAAACGGGATTGAAAACGGCAATGTTTATTGTATAATTCAGGAATTTTGCAATTATATATTATTATTAGATATAATATTATTTGATAAATAAAAGGTAAATATATTTTTCACATCAAATCAATATTATTAGTTTCAAATAAATTACTTATTAGGCAGTATTGAACTAAATATATTTATTCGAATTCAATACATTTGTTTTCAGTGCACGAATCGTGAAGAAACCAAATGATACAATCAATTCAAACTAATAAAACAGCAAGTTCAAATTAATACGTCTAAAAACCGCAAAATTCTTAGATCATACAATAAATATTGCGGTTTTCATTTCGGCACAAATGACGTGAGTTATTTATAACGATATCACCAATCGTTGTCATTTCCACATTTGCATTATTATACAAATCACGTCACGTCAATCTCATATCGCAGTCCGATTAAAAAAAAAAAAAGAAAGTATCATTATATATAATGACTTGGAATCGCGCAATATTTTATGACAACTTTTTTTACGGCTTTATAATAAATATCAGCTCCAATCCTTATAAAATGATTACGTTAAATGTTTTACGCCTCATTGCACATCGCTACGAGACGAAGTGCAAATAACTATACATGCAGCTCCAACTGTATCCTTGAAATTCCTACCTCTGGGCCTGCCAAAGGACTTCATAGCCTTGATTCCCATTCCGGCATAAGTGTCGCCGCCGTAATCAACGTACATGAGTGCCGATCTTGTGTAATCACTGCACATGTACGTAGCCCAGGATCATCAGCTTCATTCGTCCGATTACTCCGCCTCGCGTAATTTCGCTGTTCCGAGAGAGATTCTCGTCTCTCTTCTTCCTTCTCTTCAGAACACGAGCGAGAGTCCGCGGCGAACGCATTCAAATTAAAGATGCACCCGTCAAGGACGACGTCTCGTCGCAATTTAACTCGCGTATTTAAACTTGATCACGCACGATATCGAGATAATCACATGTCGATCCGTCATTAAGAGAGGTTCACCGATTTCGGTCTTACTCCGTTTATCCCATAATGCGAACGAGTCGTCTCGATTCGTCTCGATTCGCGGGCGAATCGCCGAAAAGGAGAAGGAAAAAACGAAGAAAAATCACGTCGAGGTAAAAACTACACTTTCGACGACCCGAGGATGATGACGCGTCACTCGACCAAGCGACGAATAATCGTCCCGTGCCATCGGAGAGTCGCGAGTTTACGCACAAAGTCACGACCTGTCAGCGAGTCGAGGAGGCCAGTCACGTTACGAGGAAGTCGAGATCTCGAGGAGGAGCCCCGGCTGAACGGAACACACGCGGCGTGTCCACCATGTGTTTGCTATCAATTCATAACTGCGAGCCACACGGGTTATTTCCGAATACCTGCTTGCGCAATCGCCCGCTGCTCCGAGAAGAGCTCGCCGAGACGATGAAGGGGAGAGAAGTTAAAGGAGGAACCGAAAATCGGAGTGGTGGGTATATCCGAAAATATGAACCGGCCGCGTCAGATATGCCCTGCTTCTCTCCCTCTCTCCTTCTGTCTCCTATTCGAGGGATTCGCCCCTATTTCGCCACAATGTTCGGACGCGCACTTCTTCTCGCGCGTACATACGTGTCTACACCCGCGCACACACGCACACGCACACACCCGCGAGACACTGAACGAGAGAGGAGAGCGAGCGGACGCTCCTCGTTCTCCGGACGGTGTGTTGTGTATCGCGCTGGTTGGATCGAGGTAGAGATCCCCGACCACGAAACGATCTTTCCTTCGGCGCCACCGGAGTTCGTTAAGTCGAAGCGCCACCGTCGTACGACCGCGTTTCGCAGGTAAGTGCGTATACCGCGAAAGAGAGATGGCTAGATAAATAGATGGCGAGAGATAAGTAGAGATGGATAGATAGGTGGATCGAGAAAGAGAGACCCAGAAGAGGAGAGCAAAGGTGGAACGGGAGGAAAAGTAGAGGAAGACGTCGGGATGGATGGAGGTGGCCGCGAGAAGAAGGGGATCGCGAAGTCTCTCGGAGAGGGAAAGCAAGAGACGCGTGTGTATGTATATATATGTTCTCGCGATTCAGGGTTTTCACGGGCGGCTTGATCTCGCGAGGGACTCCCTATCCGAGATGTTTCACACGGCCCGGACGAATATTATCCGCGATTTTGCGGGGAACCGTATATGTATTTGTATAAAGGAGCCGCAAAAGTGCGATGCGGTGAGATGGATAAAGCGCTGCGAGAAGGGTCCTCTTGCACGCTACGCGCGAGGAATTAAAAAGACGAAGTCGTGTCACGGATGGCTAGATCGCAGGTTTATATATGGATGAAGGATAGAAAGAGACGAGCAACAAGATACATCGGTTTACTATACATATATAGCGACTTGGAGAAAAGACGCGCAGGTTTTTAATGTACGTAGACTAGAGAGAAGAGACGCGTAAAAGAGCGACGATATTTTCAGCTGAATGAAACCGAGAAGGAGAGAAGGGAAGAGAGACAGAGCGCGTTGGAGCGACGCGAATAGGAATGTAGACTCCGAAAATACGATTCGACCGAATTGCCTCGAGAGGAGATAAAAAGCGGGAAAATCCAAGAGATACCTACGTAAAGCGCGGATCATTCGCGGAGGCAAGAGAGGATACCCAGGTGAAATTAATAAAAGGAGAGAACTCTGAATGTACGCGCGAGCGAGAGGGAGACGAAAAACACTCGACCCCCACCAGCGCGACTGCGACAGCGCAGACCCTCTCGCCGAGTTTTATGAATGAATGCTCTCCCGTCACGCGGCGGACTAACACTGACGCGTCGGCGCACACCGCGCGCGCGATCTCTCCCCCTCCCCACCCTCCCTCTATCTGTCAACTGCGCGCGCGCGCGCGCGCAGTCGAAGCCGAGCGCTGGTGTGCGTCGGACGTGTGCGTGTGTACGCGCGCACACGTGCGCACGCGGAATAAATACCGAGAGTTGGCTAATACACGGGCGCGCAGATCCCGCCGTCCGTTCCTTCCTTCATTCGGTTTTGCCGGTTCGTTCATTCATGCCCGAGCCGCACGCTTTAACTGGTAGCTCACCTCGACCGTTCCGAGAAGAGAGAGAGAGAGAGAGAGAAATAGGAGAGACTTCCACCTCCTTCTTCGCCGCGTCGCGTTTAGATCAGATCTCTTTTTCTGTCCGTCCATCCGTTCGACGTCGTCGTCGTCGGGACGTTGACGTCACGCTAGATGAAGAAACGAGTCGACATTTGCCGAGAATGAGTTCTCTGCAGTCCCTCGCGTGACCTTCTTTCATCGACGACCGGATATAGTAAGGGTGGAATTATGATGACCTTCGCGCCAGCGTATATAAAGAGCGTACGAAAATTACGATGCAGCTTTTGAGAAAGTAAATTGTTGTTTCTCAAGCTTTGTGTGTTATACCAAGATAATTTTAAATAACAAAATACGATTCTCTATGATGTGAAATATAGAATCATCGATACTTTCTGCGCAATAATCTTTAAACTAATTGCATCAATTATGTATAATTATTTAAATTGTATGTAATTATATACCCTTAATGCGTGTGAGTATATATGGATTTGAATTATTAATTCATCTGATCGCGGCGATATTTGTATCATAAATAATAAATCATAGTTTCTATGCTATAATTTGTTAAAACTGAAAAATAAATGAAGGTATACATATATTCTCTTTTAATACAAATATATGTTTGCATTTGTAAAAGAACATTCTATTGCAGTCATTAGTTTATTATTCTATTAAAGTATTATTAATAAAATAAAATGCTAATAAAATGCTAATAAAATGTCTATACATGCATTAACATTAATGGAAGTCGTGTGTTAATTCAAGAATAATGAATAGCAGTTGGGATTTAGTTTGCAAATCACGCAGGATTTGCGTGGAGCCTCTCTAGAAAAAGATGACTCATTCAATTAGAGCATCTATGCAAATAAACGTAACGAGGATAGCCCTTCGATCTGCGTTTGATTATACGCGATAACGAGTGTTTTAATAGCGCCAATGCATAAACAAATGCGACGACCAGTTGAGGTTTTTAGCGACGTAGAGAGAGAGAAAACGGCGGATGCATCGCGCGCACTTTACAGCCCCTTCGGAGTAATCGACGATAAAAAGAAAATAAGAAATAAGCATACAACGTGGTGTAATTACACGTTATCTAACGCATGCTTTTTTAGCAATTTTCCTCGGTCGCACGGTGTCTCGTCGGACGAGGATGTCGTGCGTCTGATTGATGAAAAACTCGTCGCTCGCGGGCAGGAGGCTAAAAATTTCCTCCAACACCGGCGACTTCCGGTAAGTCCGGAGGACCATTCATAAGCTCAAACGCAATGAGAGGATACGTTTTCTCTTTCTCTCTCTTTCTCTCGAGGGATCTTCGCGATTCTGCGAGCTATATTTTACGCCGTTTCCCTCGTATACATTCACGTATATAACTGTATACGAACGCGATATCCGGAATCCTATACTCATCTTCCTTTTTTTCCTCCTCTTCTCTCCGCGGATGTATCTCTCTTTCTTTCGCAACCGGTTACGCTGCATTTGTTTCGATAAATTAAACTGGGAAATGAATCGCCCCGATTCTTTAGCGGGTATTCTAGAATGAACTTTTGCTTCTAATCTGACTGACGGATGTTATCGAATGCAAATTGACTTCGATATAAACATTAAACGATGGAAACTAGAGATACAATTGAATTACTTAATCTAGAACTAATGTGACAGATATCTTGAAAATTATATATCTATTTTCGAAAAATATGTTATATATAGAAATGTTTTTCAGCTACTGATATATAATGAGTGCGCGCTTTAATATAATAATCTTATCAAATATTCCTAAAAATATGTTTTTTTAAGTTTTTGAGTCATCATCTCTTTATCAGCGACATTTCACAATATTATCGTATTAGTTGGAAAAAAATTATCTTAATGGTATTAAATATTTCAAAAAAAAATTGTTCAAAAATGTTTAAATCGTTATCTCTATCAACGACATTACATACATTATTACATTACTTGGAAAAAATTCGATTTGCTTTCTGGCAATTTATATAAAATGCTTTTTTCAAACGTCATTAAAATTAATAAATAATGATGATAAATGTTCAGCTATCATAAAGCACACACAATCAAAGTTGAATGAATCAGCTGCGGCGTGACGCGATGCATAAATTAGTCGACTATGTGACATTAATCGTATAATTAATGATTACACGCGAGTCGCGTTATCGATCTTCATTCACAAGTTCGACGAACGTGAAGATTCGCGAGATCGGGAGATGAGAAGCGGCATAAGAAAGTCCGCGGAAGTCGCGGCGCGAGAGAATCATTATCGTCGATTAGCGTTGCGGAAATTGATAAAGCGCGTTCGTATGATCGGTAGGCAGGAAGGGGTTGGCTACGATATAGCCGTGGAAATAATAACAATGCAACATTGTGGGAACCGTTGTAGAGGAACGTGACGGACAGCCGTGAGGAGCTGGAGGATGCGCCGCCGGGTGTCGAGAAGAAAAGAAGAAAAGGGAAAGACGCGAAGAAAAGATAGATAACGGCACGAGGATAAGGAGAGCGAGGGAAGGTTACGCGCTGAAGGGGGCGACTTAACCCGGAGTGAGAGAGAGAGAGGGATGGACGGAAAAGGATGACCGCAGGAAGGAAGTTGGCCTGGCCCCGGTGTACAGGTTGTTGTCTGGCAACACCTACGGTGATCAAAGAACAGAGAGAGAGAAGGAGGAGGAAGAGAAGAGCGTTCAACAGGACGAGAAGGGAAAAAAGATGCACGACGGTGGCCGAGGGAGGAAGAGGAGGATGCAGGAAGACAAAAGGAACGCGAATAGCAGATAGCGATAGAGAGAGAGTGAGAGAGTGAGAGAGCAGAAGCCGGACCTGGCGTTGGACGCGGTATACACTTGCCGAAGGCTGAGCAGGTTTTTGCCACATTTTTTGCGACGTTTATTATAACTAGGAAGCTGATGTGCTTCTCTCCCCGAAGCCCTACCTCGTAATCTCGATCGGAGTATGTTCGCTTGCGCGCGTATAGACACACACACATACATATGCATGAGGCGTGCGTGTGTGGAACATTTATCGGGACGTACGCTCACCGTTGAAAGAGGCAAGATGTAGCGGAGAGAGAAAGAGAGAGAGAGAGAGATGGAGAGAAGTGGGATGGAGAGCGTGAGAACGCGTAAAGTTGTAAGGTACGAAAGGGAGGGAGATATATCGCTACGCTCTTTTCCACGGTGTTGGAAAAGGTGATGATGGTTGTGCTGGCGATGGTGGTACTGACGGATTCTTATGTACGTCAGAAAGACACACGCGCGTCAACGTCACTTCCTCCGCGAGGCAATAAGTTCTTTCTCTTTCTCTTGCTCTCTTCTCTCGCGTATCCCTTTTCTCATGTCGCCTTGAACATACTCGAGGAGAAAATAATGCGCTGCAAAGTCGGGCTCTCGCCGGTAGTCGCAATTTATTTCATTTGACACTCGTTAGCAAAGAGAGCGAATGAGCAAAGAACAGAACCTTCTATTATACAAAGCTGCGATTTTACATGATATATGACGCTATTAACGTTTCTTCTGGCCTATAATGCATTAACAGTTTTTGCATACGCGGCAATAGATATACACACAGAGAAAAGTTTCTCTTTGAATTTATCCTGAAAATCATGGCAATCGTGGGACAATAATATGGTATTGAAAGAATTTTATATAAGAGTTGATCTGATAAATATATTTACCGTAATAAAAATATTAACATCTTATTGTGGGAGATATTAGTACTTTTATTGCGGTAAATATATTGATCAGAGAGAAATTTTTATAGAATTCTTTCGATACACGGAGAGAGTTT